TATTTGAAAAACAAGTTCGTACTTATCAAGTGAAAAAATATAAAAAGGAAGCTTAGGTAGGTAGTAGATGGCATCCCATATCATTCCCCAAACCAAGCCAAAGAGCGTACCTGTTGAAAAGTTGGTCCTCCTTGAAGACTTGGAGCTTTTCGCGGCCCTCCGAAAGACCTTCGACGTCCACGGCAATCGTAAACCGCTTATCGAACGTTTCACCAGCTGAGAAAAGCAAAAGCGAATTGATATACTGAGCATGAAAGCACAGCATCGAGTATGAACTATGCTCGTTAGAGATTAACCAGCGAATCACGCAATTTAACTCGAGCACGATTGAAAGACACAAGTTGCCAAGACTCCATCATTTAGATGACAAACCTGTTATGTTCACTAATTGACATTGACACCACGAAATAAATCAAATCATATCCACCCTTCACCCATATCAGAACTTGACAATATCCAATAAATCCATCAACAGTCACACCTGACCCTGACACCTACAAATATCACATAAAATATCCACAGAATCGCACCATTGATCGATGAAAGACAGGTCAATGGATCATTAACACTCAATAGCACAATCACCGGTCACGGTCGCTCGCAGCTTCCATACCTGTGCCGTCGCCGACCACGACCGTGGCGCTCAGCCAGAGCTGCTGGGCGTAGGAGGTGACGCCCGGCGATTTGATGACGAACGGTCCACTGGCCATGGAGAAGCCGGGGCCGCGCGTCTTCAGCTCCGAGGCCTTCACCGTGGTGGTGACTAGACCGGCGGGACCTGGGGGCGGCCGGTGGGGACGGTTGGGTGAGGGAATAGGGGAGAATGACCAGAGCGGCGGTCCCTGAGCGCGGCCAGGGGTGGTCAGAAAATGGCCACACCGGCGCCGCGGGTCCTGGGGGAGGCCGGTGGGACGTGGGTAGGTTGGCGGGAGAGAATGGTTAGCGTCTGGTGGGAAGAGAAACGGAAGACGCTAAAAAGTAATTCGACGAAATTTGTCAAATATGTAACGATAAATGAGCCGGGAGCCCTACAGTCAAGGGTATTTGTGGATTGTTTACGCTGGAAAATAAAAAGGTCGAGCATAATACCTGCACCGCCTAGCCCACACCGTTCGACTGCATGAGGCCGATAATGAGCCCGTCTACCTATTTCGTAGTGAACACACTTGGCTGACTTACCTGCCAGCCCGATGAGTATGATGACGAAGAAAGACAGGAAGAAGCCCGCGAACAGCAGCACAAACTCCCGTTTGTGCATGGTGTACAGGCGCATCTGTAGCGATCTGAAATAAACAGTCAATTATTACACAAACAGCTGACGCGGCCTTTCGCAGCCATTTCGCAGCCTACAATCCTTCATAACCGTAAGCAGCTCATGAATGCTCTGCATAACAGCCATCTCTCCCAGCATCTCTAATAACAACCATGCACCCCTATGCCCTATTTGCGAGCGGTTTCCCCTCAGCGCCCAGCCCCGCGCCCCGGCCTCACCTCTCACAGCGGTCGTGGTGGTAGGCGGGCGCCAGGTGACGGCTGAAGTGACTGAACAGGTCGCCCACCTGGCCCAGCAGGCCGCGCAGGCCTCCTCCCACCGAGCCCTCGCCGTGGAACGAGAACCCCTGCTCCATGGTGTTCTGTTGCCCCTCTCAGGGCTGTCGTTCTCGGCAGCGGCCCGCTCGGCTCGGCGTCACGGGCGTCCATCGATCCGGGGGAGAGCGACGCAGCGCTGCCGGCTGCGCGCGCAGCGTCGCCCCCGCCGTCACCGACGGCCCCGTGCCGGCGGCAATTCCAGCCGCGGCCACCCACTATCGGCCTCATTAGGCTCACCCGAGGCACACCGGCATAAACGGCGGACTGATCAGTTACACGGCGAGTAGGTGCTCTGTTGTTCAGAACAAAACTGTCCGTCGGACAATTGGCAGTCGGTGTCTGGTTTGATGACAGGTGACGTGACATGCAAACTGGCGAATGCAGTGCACAGCTGCACGAGTAATAAAGTTTATATGATCATCAATTGCTTCCCAATTGCCCTACTGACAGCGGACGGTAAATCATCGACGACAATGGACCAATTGATAGAGATGCTTAATTAAGTACCGTGAAAATTAGCCTGCACAGTACAGTTACACACTGCACACTGCACAGCGCACATTTACGTTTACCCAGCAGCAGACATTCTAGCCAAGACTGAGCGTTTTCACCAGTCCGACACTGTTCTAGCAAAACTGTGTCCTTAGGAAATACCGAAAAGAAGAGCGCACCGCACGTCTCACCCATAAGTTTCCGTCGTGCTTTGCAGTGGGTCGTCAATGAGCAGGTCAGGCATGAGCAAATGTAACGCTAATTAAAACCAATATAGGAATCAAGAAACGTCATAGCATGCGATCGATAGGTATCATTTGACTCACTAAGCAAACGTTACTACCATGAGCTGAGTTCATTGCATTTGCCAGCCGGCACACCCCACTCAGCTGATCCCCTGACAGCTCGACTCCCGGGTCACGTATCAGTCGTGCTCTCCGCCCCCGTCTGCGTTGACGCTGGTCGGGCGACAAGGGAGCTGAGGTTGAAAAGGCACCGCGCCACACCCGACAGACGGTCCGTGCAGCCTCCCAGTGATCACCCCGGGGTATAAAGGGAGACGGAGCTCCGCCGGCGCCACTGGCGTTCGCGGAGGGGCGGCGGACGGTGGAGTGACGTCATACAGCCGACATGGTGACGTCACCTCGGTCCGCGCTGCCAACGGTCATCGTCCTGCTCCTTGGTGAGTAATGAGTATGGTGTGATACATTGGGCGTGGAATGCAACTTGTTGGGATGTAATGCATGCATAACAGATTTGTGTTGTAAATTTTAGTAAATAGGAGAAGGAAAGGAGACAAAGGGCAAAAGTAGACACAAATGATAGACGGAATCGTTCCTTTTGATGCGAAACCGTATTACGAATCACCAAGTACCAACAGTCTCTCTCCATAACGACTCACATAGCCGACCAAAATGAGTAAAATCAAACGGAATATTGCCGCGAATCGATCGATACGATACGGCGGGGTCACCCCGTCTAGTGTCTACCAACCTAAGGATCCGCATCAACTATGCTGCAACAAAAACAATGTCCTGTATCGCGCTCGTTCGATATGATTGCACTCGTAAATACCAAGCAATTAAGGCAACAATAAAACCTGTTTTCAATGTCCCTAAAACATTCGTATCGTTATGTGTCAGAGCGGTGCCTATACACAGTACAACTAAGATAAAGAACAATAAAAAGCAGGGCTATCAGTGCGAACACTAGGTATTACTAAGATTGCTGAATAAATAAACTCGATACTGTATTCCAACGCTGCAATGTGCTTTGATGATGAACAAACAACGGACAGTACCGACCTTTTTTTACTAAAATTATTTCAATCATGCATGCAATAAATACCTAATATGCCTATATAGAATATAAATCCAACATGACAGTTGGCTGGTATTTGATGCCTGAAAGACGCGTTTCCGAATAAATAACAATGTCCAGCAATATGTAGCCTAATTCGGCCACCGCTCGCGAACAAGCTACGAATAGCAGATAAATCAATAATGAATATGATCTGGTTAGATGCTGGTAACAGGTACTTTAGGTATAACCCCTAGCTAGGCCCTAACCATATATGGTATGGTATACAAGATATCTTGGCTCGCTCCGCGTCGCTTTGGCAATCAAAGTATGAGGGAGAAAATTTGGGATCGATTGGTGTTCGTCCCGTGTTAATCGGACGTCTAGAAGCTTAGATATTCACGAAAAACTTGTTGAACTTGCCAAAGTACCTGCCAGCTTGCTGTATCACCTGCTACTTGGTAATGTACTGAAAACTTGCTAATGTACTGAAAACCTGCCAAAGGTATTTACTTGCGGGCCTAAATACCGCAAAGAGTTTAAATCAGACGTCTTAAGACGACCAAAGACTTTCAAAATTTCCCTTGGTCTCAGTTCGTTTTAATTTGTTTTCAATGAATGTTTGCAGTTTGAGTTATGCTTAATTCCAATTCGTATTTTGTTTCACCTACCTATCATTTCCCACATACTTTTTGCGTCCTACCTATTAAGCGATTACACTTACGTCGAAAGAGCCGGTGGGTGCTTATAATGCAATACCCTGCACGGTGAACAGCTTGCGAGTTTTGCAGCGGTGCGATTGCTGGGGCTTATCGCTGACTGAAAAGGGTAAATACAGTAAATACAGATGGCTGTGTTGGATCCCTTTGCTTTTGCCCAACATTCAGCGTTGGAATTGTGGCTTTACCGTCCCTCTTATTAAAGTTATCTAACTTTTTGTAGCTTCGTCAGGTTAGACACGACGCGCGCGGCGGTATCCATCTGGTGGCCGCTGGCGGAACTACCGCGCATTGCCCGCTTGCCGCACGGGCCTGGCGGCCGCCAGTGGAACTACTGCGCAGGTGGCAGCACCTGCCCGTGGAGAAGCGGCTGGCAATCGGCCGCCCCACTCCCCACCCCGCCCCCACCCAGCTGGCCGCCAGACCGTGGGAACGACTCGGCTCAGCGCTGCCGGCCGCTGGACGGGGAAACCCCGCCCCGCCGCCCGCCGCCCGACACACTGCCGCCGGGCCGGCCGGTGGAATTTTCCAGCCGTCTCTCCGGAACGGCGGTACCCCGCTCATTTTCGCACGCGCATTCAGCGGCGGCTTGTCGATTTTTCGAGTGTCGGCTGCCGATCTCCCGAGAGCCGGCCACCTGTCAGCCGCCGCTCGGCTCTGTGTTAAGCATATGGGGACGGCGAATTTCTCCCGGAGGGAAGCACCTCGCTCACAAAAGCACGTGAATCAGCCGCATTCCTGTGAGGCGCGCAATGTTGAAGAGATATGTGTGCACGCAGCTATCTCGCAAGCCCTAAGAGAAAAAGCTCGCTGCAAAAACTGAGCGTTTCAAAAAACCCGAAATCCTACTCAAATGGATATTTAAACAAGGAACCCGTTGATGGTCTACTTCCAGTAAGCATACTCGAACATCCTTCGTTGACTTTTTACAGCCATCATCCAAAGCTCCATGTCGAATATAGTTATGCAATAAGTAGTAACTTTAAAACGGTTCGCCCAACCACTTTGCCGTCGTGAGCTAGTGTAGCAGACACATTGGGGCAATAAAACGCCATACTTCAGCGACTCTGTACCACTACACCGTTCGATCAGTAAGCTATTGACCCCGCCCTGAACGTGTGCCCTCCGTTACAGCGACCCACAGCGGCAGGGGACAGACTGCGCTGAACAACTTCAACATCAAACTGCTCGACACGGACAGCATCAACTCGATCCTCGGTGAGGACCGTGACAGCCAACACGATGATAGCCAGCGTCACATGCCAACACGACAATAGCCAGCGTCACAGCCAACACGACGGTAGCCGGCGTCATAAATGGCGTATACGCTAATTGGTGCAAAGCTCTTTTAAAAGGTCACACGGTAAGCTTATTTGAGACTTGCAGTTTACACCCTCAAGCGTTTAGGCCTGACAGCCTTATGCTTACAATCACATGTGACATAGTTTTGACTCACATAAAAGTCCATATGTTTACTCCAAGGCCCAAACTACCGAAATACATTAGCTTAAATATGCATATGTAGCATGTATTCAATGTTAGGAGCACTTTAGTTGACAAGAAGAAAAGCACGTCATCAGCATGGAAAACCATTGCGCTGTCTACTAGCGAAAGTTGGCGGCATATTTGAAAATGATTTTATTAGGCATGCAAAATGCGGTCAATTAATGTAATACGTTAACTGCCCATCTTAACTTGCCATCCGCTCACTCTGGTTATCATTTTTCTTTCAGGGAAGCTAGTAGGCGTTCAGGAATGTTTCAAGTGCTCGATTCTGAACGTGGTCAACAATGGACGCGTTCGCAAGGTAGGTAAGCTATTTGCGAGAGTGCATGCAGCGACCTTAAGCGGTACTTGACACTGAAGTTGTAAGCAGTAATGCCATGCTACGGTAGGGAAATGTAATGCTATAGGTATTGAAGTGTGTTAAAACGTACACCATATTTGCGAATGGAAGGTGCATTGTGCAGACCTCTGACCTAATGACAGGGCAGTATTACATATAAGATTACGGGTCTATGTACTTAGCCAATGACAGGTCAATGGTCTAGAAGTGATTTAGAGCAATCTCAAACCAACATAGCGTCTACACTTTCCTATCCATCACCGGTCGACTAACAGCTAAACGATGGAGTGAGTGCATATGTAAATTGCACGCCAGCGCAGCCGACAATCAGTAATAGCTCTTCGCTTTATCACAAAGGGTAGAGTACACTCCACGACCGTCGACCCACCCCGCGTATGTGCTTTCCCATCGAATCGTTCTTTGACGCAGTCGGTTAGGACATTGCTCGCCTAGACACAATGGCACATGCAAGCCACCGCGCGCGCGTTACTACACGAACATTTAGGCACCATATAGGTACGCGTTATCGTACCACGCATCAAGTCAAACAGTTACGGCCATTAGTGCTAATAAGTAGGAACTATGCAATTTGCATCACATTGCAAAGAAACGAATGCACCTTGACAATGAAGGGAAGTAAAGTAGGCAAAGGTTGGATGGGCAGCCCCGCAATGAACAGAGTGTGAATGCGAGCACAACATGTTTGTGTCGTGCACACAGTTACGCATGCGAAAGCACTTCAAACCCACTTAGTCCAGGTCGCGGAAATTATGCCTTTTGAGGTCGCCATGGCCCATGGACCACCGACACGACAAAATCACCAATGGATGCTTTCAGCCTGAATGCAGGCGACGCAATTAGAGATATTTGACGGGTTTCGTTACTTCAGGTGTCCACATAACCACTTTGTCATGTAGTATGCAAGAAGGGCATTTCAGCTTGAAAGCCTTATAAAGCTGAAGCGCCGGCCCAAATATCCAACATAACACAATTCAGCAGTGTCACATAGCAGCCAACAAAGAGCGACATCACATAGAGCACAAAACTGAATCAATTTCCTGAATTTTTCCGGTATTTTTGAAAATAAAGTTTATTTTCAATAGAAATCATCCAGTAAACATAGACAGCTAAAATAAAACTTAATAAAACATATAAGAGCAGAAAAACACAATTGTCAAAAATGAACAATTAGGCAAACTATGAACGATATTTTCAACAATCACCTTCCCACGTTTTCAGTTATCTGAGGCGATCAGAAAGTGTATGAACGCGTCCCCAACGCGGCCGTTCCCACCCGGCTGGAACCCCATGTTCCCGCCCATCATGCCGTACCCGGGCTTCTTCGGACCTGGTGAGTTGAACGTCTGACATGGCAAGGGGGAGAGTGAAACAGGGGACAATGGGGCTGTGTAACCTGTGTGGTATTGGCATGAGACCCGGCTGAATAAAAGCACAGGCCATTGTGAAAAAGTTGCATTCACCGACGGATGACGCAGCGACAAGCCGGTGGCTTGAAATATTACAGCGATATGACCCCACACCTAAGGGCAGTGTGACCAGAGCGATAATAATTACATACACGTGAAACGCCTGGTAAGACAGCAACATGATTTTTGAGTGACTATCCGACTGGCTCCCCCGGGCAGGTATCAACCCAATATGGCTGCAAGCATTTCAAGCCGCTCGCAGGGCGAAAAATGAAGCCGCGGCGGCTGCAGTTACAACAGAGGCACCGACTCCGGACACGAGGCCTGCATCGTTCAGCGCTCAGCCCGAGGAGCCCAGTGGTCGGCGAAAAAGTAAGGCAGCAGACGAGGTCGCGATGATCTGCCAATTGGTCGCTCACGTCATACTGTCCTCTTATCCTTTTCCCAGCGCAGTCTGTTCCATTTTACTGTTTAAATGACACGAATGTGAAACCCATCACGCGTGTGTGTAAGAAAACTAAAAAGTTCACGCAATGTCACATTCGATCGATCATTTTTCTGTCACCGGGACTCCCACTGATCCCACAACGCCCGTCAATAACCGTCAAAGGCCGCCGAGGCCTGTCATACGCACAGCACCAATTCTATGCTGTTGCCTGGTCCCCAGGGCAGGCGGGAGCACTGTACCCGGCGGGGCTGTACCCCGGGCCGGTCCCCGGCAGGCCGGGCGCCGCGCTGCCCCCGGGCACGGGCGGCGCCACCGCTCCAGGACAACGCACCGCCTGGGGAAATCAGGTAAACGAGCCGCGCATACCGGCCCGACCGCCGGCAACGACTGATTACATGGTCATTGCGGTGACTAACTACCCGCCCATGCATGTGACTCGCTTGTCGAAATGACCGATAGGTATATGTCGTGCGGCATATACCACTTTAAATCTTATTCAGGCAGTGTTATTTACCAATGTGCAATTGGATTCCACCTGCATTCATACAACGTTCCATGTGAAAAAGTCAAGACGTTAGGGGAAGTTGGGGGAACGCCGAATACTTTTTTTTCTGACGCCCGTAGCACGCAAGGTAGACAACATAAGCTATTCTTGTTGGCGTCATTCGAGAGGCCAGTCTTTTGTCTTTCAAACATAGGGGAAGGTGGGGTAAGACGGCCCAGCGGGGCAAGATGGACCACCAGCCCTCCCGGCTGAACTGCTGCTGGTATCTACTGCTTTATGCACTCACTATGTTTGTTTTCCTTCGTAACAATGGCCACCTTGAGCTCATGCTGCTAGGATGCATAGCTTTTGAGTTATTGAGAAAAATGTTGTTTTTCGTCAAACCGATCTAATATAAGAGGTCTATGGGTGATTCAATTATGGCGCCTTTCTTGTATGATTAGCTTCTATTTTGCACTTAACTGTGAAGAACAAAGTTATAAACTTAGTTATAGTCACAATTTAGGAAAGGCAAGGTTTTGCAATGTTGGGCTATTTGACATATACGTCATGATAATGACATAATTTAGATTTGGGGCAAGACGGACCACTGTGGTCCATCTTACCCTTTGCTGGTCCATTGTACCCTGCATATGGAAACTTTTTTTTCCAAAACATTGACACAAGTTTAAGTAAACTAATTTTTCAGGAAGGAGTCTTTGTTGCATGTGAGCCATGCATGCAAGTGCTCAGTTAGCATGCATTCATGCCAAACGACAATCAACACACATGTTCCCAGCTTTTAGCTGCACTTCCATCACACATGAGTAAAGAATAAAGGCTCATTTTGTTATTTTACCATTCTGGTTACTTTTTCTTACAAGAGTACAGAGCAGAAGTGTAACACACATGAACGGATAGCAGGGACTGCTGGGTGGTCCGTCTTACCCCACGTTTTTTCTTGTCCGAGTTTTTGACATGTCCCTCTTTAAGAGCATCCACCACCTAGATGTCTTTAATTTGAAATTTAGTCTTTACACATATCAACAGAGGAAGGATTCAGCATTCCGAAGACTATAAATAATATGAATTACGAGAGCAGTGTAGCAAGATATGCGGCCTCAAACCTTAGCTGGTCCGTCTTACCCCACCTTCCCCTACCAGGCGCATTTGATGAATTCGCATACCGTTAAGCGCAAAAACTAAAAATATCAAACAACTGACTTTTTCGGCGTTGCCCCGGACTGCGGGGAAAGCCGAAAATGGGATAAATGATCTACGAGGAATGCCGACATTGATGTTTTGCCAATTTATCTCAACCTTTATCCAAAATTCATCAAAGCTGAAACGCGTTTTAAGAGCTTGAGGACGCTTGGTGCACACTGGAAGTTATAATTGTGTGATATAATAAGAAAATGCCAGGTAAATCATTCCTTATAGGTAACAGGCCGTTGTGCCGGCTGAAAGTGTAATTTGTTTGACTAAAAATACGCGTTGCTATTCTACAGCAGTAAAGTCCACGTAGCGTGCTTTAACGTGCGTAATTGCACGTTTTCGGCATTACCCCAGCCAGCCATACTTTCATTTGCAGGCCCATAACTTTTAAACGTACTGTATAAATTTCAAATAGGCAGCACACTTATGCAAAGACATGCTGAAGATTACTTGACCGAATTGGCCAGACAAACGGTAGCATAATGAGTAAGAAATGCAGCTTCAAAGGCGCATGTAGTACAAGGGAAACGTACCTTGAAAACGCTTTGGCGCCCTCACAGCCGAAGTATTCCAAATGACGACTCGTAACAAACATGCGATAATTGTAGTCACTTAAGCTTCAGAGCATCACTGAGACGTGGCATCCATGTCGTACGGTTTTAGAAATATCTCGAATTTCGGCTTTGCCCCAACTCCGGCATTGCCCCAACTTCCCCTATGGCTTAAGAAAAGATCGAAGGCCTTTTGTACAGTCGTAAACTATTTTCTGTTGAATCCTTCTGAGCAATTTTGAGCCATGGTACGGTATCCATTGTCTTTGACCATGTAGGTAGGTTCCTGAAGGTGTTTCCTCACTGAATAGGGACCTCACCCCCCTCACCCCCGGCAGGTGGACGCCAGGGTTCGCTGCGTCCTCTCGGACCTCGGCCTCGTAGGACGGGACAGAGAGCTGGACAGCGACGACCTCCACAAGCTCATTGATGGCATCGTAACTGATGAACAGGTGCGGTGTGCACATGTAATACAATGCATAATTATGTTAACCTGTTGTGTTATATTAATAATTAAATTAACTACTAAAATAGTAAGGTCAGATGACTACAAACAGACCATTGTGGCAGAAGAAGCGTTATGACAAACAGTCCTTATCCATTTTAGGTGCACTTTATATATTAGCAACAATTGCCCATCGTTAATATCACTCGGTCATTCAGATCACTTATACCAGTGTTAATAATGATGCTTCTTTTCCAGAGTAAAAAGCGTCTCACATCAATATCGGACGCCTGTTTCAAACAGTCGACCAAGTCCAGCCACAGCCTGGCGTATTATCTGACCCACCCACACCAGGACAGCCAGGTTAGTCTCGTGATAAGCAAGTGCTTCCAAACAGAATCATCGTCGGATAGCGCTTTTGGACTTTGGTGACATATTGCATTACCGTGTTGGTCGAAATTAGGAACATAAGCGCTTTTACTGCACTCAAATACAATCAACAAAAATAGTTAATGTCCTTCTTTTACCATGCTCAGTAGCTCAGGCTTTCTGCTTCCTTTGATTTCTTAATGTGAGACCTACTAAATGTAAGATAACGGCACAGGCCATCGATATAGCGTTGATGGTGCATTTCCACATATACGGTAATGCTCTGCACTCCAGGAAACCGTTTACGTCAAGTGCATTCTGGGGAAGTTGGACCACGCCTGTCAGAAGGAGTACACGGACAAGTACAACCCGATGAAGGCGGAGATGTTGCGACTGAAGCAGGCACGCTGTCTGCTCTCCGACCTTCGACCGGACGGCCAGGTCAGTGTACCAGGGCGACCGCCGACGGCCAGGTCAATAACAGGGCGACCTCTGACCTCCGACCTTCGACTGGACGGCCAGGTCAGTACTAGGGCGACCTCTGACCTCCGACGGCCAGTGTTAATGCTTGGTGCAGCATTGACGATACCATTAGGATACCATCTTTACATGAAAAGATGATAATGTTGAAGCAATGACACTTCCAAGCATGCCTCTAACTCCCTCGGGGGCAGTTCAAAACCGTTGTATGAAACCATGTGTCAACAGCACCATTGAGCGGGCTGGTGTTACCGTCTGTTCAAACAGGCTGACCTCAGCACACACCGTGCACGAGTGTTGATTTTTGACCGATCAATCGTCGAGGAAACATTGGGACGCGCTCACACGGGTTCGCTGGAACGCTATAAGTCACACAGCCGCTGTCAGTGCCGGTGACGTCCGGCGACATTGTCCAATAACTGGCTGACAATGGGTGGCTAACATCGCACATATGCCCCCCGCCCCCCCAGGTGCTCTTCAAGACCATATCGTGTGTCGGCGAAACGTTCCAAAAAGTGTCGCAGGCATTTGCCAGCGAAACCAGAACAGGTTGGTCACGTGGTGTAGTGTGTATGAAGCACACATATTTGCATTCTCACGTGGGCGTTTCCAGGTGCTAGCAAAACAGCAATTAGTGGAGTAACCATAATTTCCAAAACACCTACCTTCCAAGAAGCTGATCAATTATCAACAGTATTGATGTCGACAGTTTTTACACTGTACAAAAAGCCTAAAAAGCGCTTGCTTACTGTACAAATACTCATCCCTGACTACCCTAACCCCCTTCACGCGTTCTCCCGGCAGCGACCGTGCCGCTGACGCCGGTCGCGCCGGACACGTGTCGCCGCGAGCCGTTCCTGTTCGACCCGGTGGTGGCCCTGCTGAAGCTGCCGCCGGCGTTCTCTGCCACGGCTGAGCGGCTGGCCGTGCAGCAGATGGTGCAGTGCGTGCTCAGCGAGCTGGGCGTGTTCGCCTCGTTCGCCGCGCCGCTCAGCGCTCCGGCCGTCACCAAGGTGGTGGACGGCATGCAGGGCACCATACTGGTGAGAGTGGAGAGAAGGGGGCATAAAGGGGAACCAAACTGACAGGGGAAGGAGCCTGAAAGAGAGCCATACTGGGGAGGACGAGGTACGGAGCCCTAAGGGAATACCGTACTGGACGGCGCAAGTCTCACCGCCTCGTGCCATCCACGGTGACTATAAATAGTGCCATCCAGGTGGTAGATGGGTGATGAGCTGCTACTGTCAGCGCACCATCAATCTGGAATTGTAAACACACCTACCTTTCCATGCAGGCAAAGAACAAGCTGAAGGAGGCGTCAGCCCGCTGCATAATAGCCACACCGCAGCCAAAGGACAAGGCAGAGCTGGTCGGCTACATCAACTGCGTTCTGGATTTCCTCGGAGACGATTGTCCCAACTACAGCAGGGACACAGAGAACGCGTCGTTCTTCGAGATAATACCCACGTTCCTCGGCGGTGAGTAACAATGTATTGACGTGCCATTTACAAATTACTGGACATTAGGTATCTAGACAAAAGGCACTGCATGAATCAGAAAGCGCAGTGCTGCCTGTCTGAGAGAAGCAGAAGATCAAGCCAACTTTTTGAATGGATGTCAACCTTCTAGTTACTTTTAATAAGTGAAATACCGTCTTTTCTATTCCCCAGAGCGTCCTCCAACGAATGGCACAGGAGCGCCTCTCCGTCCGCTGCCAGGGATCGCGTCCCTCTCCACTCAGCGGCCGACACTGGTGCCCACGCCGCCGGGTCCACTGGCCAACACCACCGAGCCCATCCCGGTACCGCCGGGCCCGCAGCCGGGGCCGCAGCCGACCGGTCAGCCGCCGTTCTTCGGCGACCCGCTGTCGGCGGCGGCCGGCCCGTTCAGCGCCGGTTTCGGCTCGTTCGGCGGACTGTCGGGGATGCCATCGGCGCCGTCACCGCTGTCAGCCGGCCTGCCGCCGGAGCTGTCGGCAGGAGGGGGCCCGCTCGGCTTCAGCAGCCTGGCCGGCCTGGTGAGGCGCGTGAAGCGACAGCGCGGGCAGGGCAGACAGCCGCGGGGGCAGGACGGGCCGGACTCAGACGGTGGAGCAGGGGCGAGGATGGTCAGCGGCCTGCCGGAGGAGGGCCGAACAGAGCTCGCCAGCCGACAGAGGAACCCTCCTCTGGGGCGAGCAGCAGCGGGGCAGCTTCGTGAGCGTCCCACCGACCGCGCCGAAGGTTTTCCAGAGCGCAGAGAACGACATACGCGCACCAGAGAGCACGGGGAGCGTGCTGTGGCCAAGATGAGCCTCGGTCGGGTGGAGATCAGACCGATTTAATCACTGCTGATCGCGATCGGTAGAACGGCTCTCTTCTTGCTCCTTAGAGTTGATACGCTCTTTAAGAGCTGATATGAGAGTTGTTAAAGTGAGCTGAACTCATGACATTTTTATATCATTGTTGCTTTTTAGTGTATCAACGGTGCCCATGAGTCCGTACCGATTTAATAGGTTATCATGCATGCCCTGTAAACATTGTCTTCGAAATACATGTTTTTGCTGGAAAATGTTGAAGTGACCCACAAAAATACGTGTAAACGAGGACACAATGCTCCCGTTGTTATCAAGGCACGGCCTATTCATTTGTTTCCGTGCACTGCCAACGACGGCTAATGCGCAATGCTGTCTAATGAATAAAGAACGTAATGTGATAGCTCGATGGAAAGCACTTCGTTTGATGAAAAGGCAATGTAAAAGATGGTCTTAGACCTCAGATACGGCGCATCATTCATAATGTTTGAAGCGATATTTGCATGCTGAGGGTTTATTATAACATGAATATTTCGTTAAATTCAGCGCCAAGTAATTGCGCTATTGCATAAAGCCATTCCAAGACATTGTTTATACTCCCCACGCAACTTTGCTGAGCTTTGCTTTGACCCGCTGAGAACGAATAATTGTAGGCATAAAAATAAGGTTTCACGATGTTTCGCGATATAAGGCAGAGGATTCAGGACATCAATACCAAGTTTGCTCAGGCAGAATTTGTACATCAGAAACCTCATCACTGGAAACCGCCCAGAACTCCATCATAAAAAGACGGATGTTGGTAACGGCGACAGAAGAGACGGCCGACCGAATGGCAGCAGTGACAGAACCGGTCCGACACCGGATGCTCATATTGTTCATCTGTCAGTTGTCACCATGCATCTCCAGCTCAACATGACCGAGAAACTGAGATCACGGCATTACTAAAAATACATACTCTCGTAATCGACACTTTTCCGATTATCGCAAGAATAACATGCGCCTGCCAACTTTCCTTGTATTCTTAAAACGTGCACAACCTAGCAGTACATTCGCCGTTTAATTTCCAATCACCATATAGTCCTGCAATCGGCAATCAAACACGCAACAAGCGGTTCACCTAGCCTCAATACTGACTCAAAACACACAATTCAAAGGACCGTATCCAATGTGCACGAAGTGAGCTGAGTGCCGCCGTGGGCGAACGGGCTATGATGGTGCTCGCCAAGGGACGGAACAACTGCAATCGATGCTGAGCGGCGGTGGCAGCGGCCCTCCGTGGCCCGCCGCAGTGCCATCGGACACTCACGACTGTGTGCAGCGGAGCGGCGGGCGGCGACAGACGGGCCGACACCCGACCCGGGCCGGCCGTCAGACAGGCGGAGGTAACGAGCAGGGAGGGCGGGAGAGGCTGTGGCCACCCCGAGACTGCCGCACGCGACACAGTGGAGACAGGGGCCGACTGACATCCAGAGATAATTTGGTAGTAGATACAGACGTGTTAGGATTGTGCATTATGCAAGTGATCCAGGAGAATGTTGTTGGAAAAAGGTTTTGCTGCCTTTCGTTTTATGAGTACCTGGCTGATGAGTGCGTTTCATGCAATTGAAAATACAACTATGAAAATAATTTCGGTCATAAGTGTTAATACTTCAAAAATTATCGATATTACAAAAATGAGTTCAAATTGACACCGAATTACCCACGAGAAAATAAACTATGTTTCGTTGGAAAATAAGATAAGAAATAAAATGTTAAAAATTACATGTCACTTACACCGAAAGCCATTAGCAGGAAAGCGGTAGAGCTTCAGATATAATCAACCACTGAAACAGACAAAGAAATAAGACATGAAAAGTTGTGGCTGAAAATGATTAATTGAAGTTGGTACTGTCTTGGACACAATGTCAGAAAGCCAGAATATCCGGTTCTTCGTCGTCAAAAAACCGCAAACTTTATGCGGCCTGTATAACGCGGTTTATGCCTACAGCAAACTGATAGGTTTTGAACGATGATGTTTATGCTTAGTTTTGCCCGAGTCCCATTGGAAAATAAAATTGAGGTGGAAATGCATATGCAGTACCGCCTCTGGATAGATGGCATTGAGTTTGCATGTTCATCAGACATCTACCAGACATGTGAATGCATAAATACATGCAGAAAGCATTTCGTTGAATAAAATACTTTGCGTCTGTGATACAACAGTACCTTTGATTCGAAGCTGAGAATAAACAAAGAGTAACATTTGTAATTATATTAACGTTTTCGTGGCAAGCCTCAGTCTTTTCACATAACTAGTTTGTTACATTTCCTGTTTATTCGGTACCGCGTTTCGCCAATGCTTTCTATCTGACCGCCAATGTGAGGTGGAGCCAGTCGATTGGAGGATTGTCTTTCTAGATATATCTTGAATACGGCACCACTATTAAAATAAACATGTGACGCATGACATGACGCATGGAGCAATTGCACTAGCACAAAGAAATATTGGCGACTAGCCTTTTGCTACATAAAATATCTAATTTTGCCTCTCGCACAATGTCGTTCACTCAACGTTATCCCCTCCAGTTCAGACTAGGAAACGACGGTGCGACCATCGTCTCTGCAGCTCCACGCCATCCCCTCTCGCCTCACACCGGGACCTACAGAAGTACAGCGCACAGCCAGTCGCAGCTGCTCGTCCACCGCCACCGATGAGCGTCGTTGTGGCCGCACGGCTATGGTAAGCAACGGGGTAGACTGACCACTGACCAGACATTGAGAGCACGACGAAATGTTAATTAGCGCACAACATGATACCGTTTCTGCTAATCATCGTCGTGAATACATTACATCGTGAATACATGCGCTGCATCACTTATCAGACAACAGCATACCTTTGATTAAAAATTGCAAAACGGTTAACGTGAAATGTAACAAATACATCGGCGCCGCATGAAACTTATGAGTGAATATCACTTACTTCAGAAGCAGCATTCGTTCAACTATTTCTTTCGCGAAGCTATAAAGCTGTTGTCACAACTCACTTCATACAAACTAGAGGACTGAGGAGCACCTTTCGCCACCACCCTGCTGTCGACGTCATCGGAACGATCGAAACAACAGCATTAACTATGGAGGCTTGCTTCGTTTTAACGGATTGCGGAAACCAAGTGGCGGTACGGCTTCATGAGGTGTCTGCCACTTTACAGACCGAGCCAAGATCCACCCTTCGATGGGTGTCTTAGCACCCTTACCCAATCTGATAACGTGCCGTATGCCCGTTCTATTCTATTCACGGCATTTGGTAACATACTCCCATGTCATGTGATGCCAGTGATGGCTTATGCCTACCCGTGTAAACGAAACGATTCCTGAGACCGTCAATATGCGATAGGCTGAAATGCGCAAAACAACATTCTGCATCTTAATACATACAGTTTTCTACAGCTGAAACTCAGCCAGGGCTGCCAAATCCATTAATACTACGTCTTTAATAAGATTGGGCCCCTGGGATGGAATGTCAAGTGTTTCACCAAAACCGGCATGCAATCATGTAGTTGCTATTTAGCTAATGGTTTCATATTGTTAACGTGGGAAGACCTTTTATCACTTCAAAGCTCAATACCTATTTCTAAAAAATATTTTTTTTTCATTCCATGCAGCGTGGAACCTTTTAAATGGCAGCAATCAAGTGAAGCTCTTCAATTGAAATAATCAAATAATGCATTTTGCACCCAGCAAACAAGTCACTGAACCGAAACATTTTCATAGATGGAAACATGGGTGGACGGTCTTTCGAACAAAGCAGAAGCGACGGGCTGCAGCCCCGAGTGTCTGTTGACGCGCCGAGGGACCATAGCAGGCGGTCGATGCTGCAGGCGCTACCAGAACTCTGAACATTTTATTTTGATGTTCGCTGGATGAGGGGCTCGGTGGGGAAAATATACCCTACTGTGACGTGGCCGACAATTTGCGTGGCGTAAACGCCGCACGAATGCGATTTGTTTGTGACACTTCACAGGAGTTGGGCAGTCCAGTGCCGCCTCGTTAACAACAAATTCTTTTTTTAACTTAAGCAGAACTTTAGTTTCAGGTGTTTCTATTATTCCGATGATATGCCCATTTTATCATATAGGACTTTTTTGCCTAGCTGAGAACCTTTTCACTGCGTTCTCAGGCTGATGCTGTTCAATCTCAGGACAAGCGGTGCGCTACAAGGATCAACGTTTTCACTACCGGACAACTATGCGAAGTGGGAGCCGCCGATTGGGCCGGACGGTGAGCAAACACATAACATATGCTCGTATAGGCATACAAAAACTTCGCAGCGGTAACTTTTCCACATAACTCGCATTGTATGCGCAGCCAGCGAGTAAAAAAAGCAATTAACCTTGTGTACCAACTTTAAAGGAATCAAAGGCTTAAGTGTTATAAGCATTCCACTAACTAAACAAATCAATTCAATGTCATTATCATGCAACATGCAACACTTCGCGCAATACTTCTTTGACTGTTTCATTATGAGCACAACTGTTTCACAACTTTCGAAGAATTAAATTTCTTAGCTGACTCAAGTTCGTGTACAATGGATACAGAGGCATAGTGAAGGGTTCAAAAGCAAGTCACGCAATCCAGCCGACGCGTCTGTCTAGCGATACAGCGTCGCGCTGCTCAAACGCTGCACGTGTGAAAGGCCAGCGAATGGTGCACAGACACGCGAGGATCGCGTGTGATTTCTAGGCGACCACCCTGACCTGCTCAATGCATCGAACTCAATTTGCATTGGCTGTCCATTCGATGCTGGGTAGTTATGTAGAGTACGAATGTCACAAAAAGGACACTGTTGCAGGTCAAGGATTACATGTTTAGTTGAAAGGATTATCGACTTTTCGCATAATCAACAACACTGTTGTAACCTGTCAATCTTAAATTATTTAAATCAAACGTCTGTCAATTGTGTCAGTGTTCACATATGAAATCATTCAACGGCAAACACGTTCATGGAAATACCACATAGTGGAGTTCATAAAAGGGTTCGGCGTGAATCCTTGGTTGCACTGACTGTATGCGTTTGTACCGACCCAATGAGTTTCGTATGTACCTATCGTTTGCAGGGGAGCCCGTCAATGTGCAGCTAAGCATGCACATCTTAGACGTGGTACTGGATGAGGCAGCTCAGGTAGGTAACTATGTGTCCTGCTAGCCCAGGTAGAGCCCTGCTAGCCCACGTACAGCAGGACTCTGCACATTCCGCTGGAAGCCATCTGGAGCAAACAGTTGACGTGCCATCCTGTTCGATCCGCTATATCCAGCTTCTTTGCTTGCTGTGAACTTGAGCTCAACGAAATAAACACTTGAAACAAGGCTTGAAGGGAATAAACACGTTGAGTTTGAAATAAGTTTGCTATTATTCATAGATTAAGTCTGATATGGAGAGAGAGAAAACGGATATATTGAAAATTGCTCATAAGTGTAGCAGCGACAACACTATGTAGAGAATACTTGAGGAAACTCATGAGCGAAGATGTGAATTTTGCCGACATGCTTTTGTTTCAGACTGTCAAATTCGATTCTTACTTCCGGACATTCTGGGTGGAAAATCGCATCATTTTCAAAAGTGAGTCACATTTTGCACAATTAGCTTTACAGTTTATTGCATGAATTTTTCTAAATATGCTTTTCGTCTCCACACACATCGAGTTCAGCTGCCAGCACACTATGCTATTTAAGTCTTCCACTCTTTACCCACTCCCCAGCCCCCCTCTCTGCACCACTATGCACAGAGCAGCCTAGCATCTTGTTAAGACAGCAGTGCGCGCCCATCCGACAGCGCCCCCCCCCCCCCTCCATGTCTTTAGGATAGCGGCACTTCCCTAACACGTCCATCTGGAAGCGACAAACCCTCCAGCACGCCCATCAACAGCGGCACACCCTCCAACACGACTATCAACGGCGGCACAACTTCCAACATGACTATCAACAGCGGCACCCCCCCCCCCCCTAACACGTCCACTTGTGCCGGCAGACCCGGATATCATACATTTGTGCCGGCAGACATGACAAGACCGGTGATTCAAATGGACACGGAGGTTACCACGAAGCTCTGGCTGCCCAACATTTTCGCCCTGTTCGTCCAGAAGGTGGAAAAGCCGGAGCTAATTGTGCCCGCAGCTGGCGTTCACCTTTATGAGGATAAGTTGATATTCAGGGTAAGTCGGACGTGAAGCGTTACGCAGTAAGTCATGTCGAGTGTCGTTAACGTCCCTGTAATGTTGGATACACTATGCAATATGCATCTCTGACAGTCATAAATTATAAGGTCAAGGATATTGTATATCTATTACCATTGCATTGCTGACCATTGTGTATTGTGTATTGTGTATTGAAATATACCGTCCACAGGTGCACCCCATTTACAGACGGAGTCACAAGCATAAATATACGCCACATTTTCACACACCTACCTATGTCTTACTAACACATGTATAAATAAGGTTACAGACTCGATACGAATGCCTTCACCTGACTTCTAAACGCCGCCCGGGATCCGAACAGGTCAGCAGTGGGCCGTTTCTCACATAGACTGTTCACAGCTCGTGGCAAGCGACAGAACAAACCGTTTCTGATTGTGTCAACCCTTGCTGCAGGCACATACAGCACAGGCTTGGAACGAGTTCGCGATGGTACAGCGAGTGAAAACATCGCAAGAATGTCACCGGAGTCGATCCTGCCGGTGAACACGTTCTGCACGAAGTTCAAGTCATTCAGAACAAGCCGCTGGTCAATTCGCAAGACACCAAAATGACGAAGCAGATCAGTATAGTCAAGAGAAGCACATGGACTGTTTGAATGCCTGCCCAACCACACCAGGAACTTGTGTTGGATACGCTCCAATCTCGCAATATGAGTTTTTGCTGCTCCGCCCCATATCACGCAACCGAATTCCATGATTGCACGAATGTGGGCATTGAAACCTGTCATTATAGGTCCTGGCGGTAGCCTACGGCCGGCGGGAGCTCGATAACTCTGAAGCGACCTCAAGTACATGCCCAAGGCGCGGTTTACTTTTCTTACAAGTTCATCAATGTGGGGGCCGAATGTCAACTTTGAGTCAAGCAGAACACCAAGATCACGCATCTGGCTCACACGTTCCAGTGCAGTACCGCCAATGTGGTAGGTTGTATCTAAATGCTTTCCACGAAGTGTGAACGTGATACTTTTGCATTTAGATGGGTTCAGAGCTAACTTCCACGTACCTGACCAAAGACACAATTTATCTACGTCTGCTTGAAGAGCCAAAGAGTCACTAGCAGTTCGAATGCGACGGTACAATTTCAGATCATCTGCATACATCAGGCACCCAGAAGATATGTCGAGAGGGGCGTCGTTGCAAAATAAGACGAACAGGATTGGCCCACATATGCTGCCCTCCGGCACTCCTGACTTCACACGCACCCAGTCAGAACACTTGCCGTTCAACACTACACTCTGTTCTCTCCTACTCAGGTAAGAACGGAACCAATTGAGAGCGGCACCAGACAAATGGTATGACTTCTGTAGCTTATGTAAAAGCAGAGAGTGGTCAACACTAGTAAAAGCCGACGAATAGTCCGTATAAACTACGTCAGTCTGAGCCCCCTCGGCTATCGAACGCCACAGCTGATCGACAAGACAGGTAAGATTGGTCTCGCATGAACGTCCTGCTAAAAAACCGTGCTGTGCTGAGGATAAAACGGGCGACACGTGTTGAATCACTTGGTCACATATGATGCGCTCACATATTTTGGAACAAATCGGCAAGAGGGAAACCGGGCGATAGTTGCTGGGATTTTTGCGGTCACCCTTCTTGTGAACCGGGGTAACGTACGCGCGTTTCCAGACTCTAGGAAAGGTGCCCTGGCTCAGCGAAAGTCGAATGAGTTTTGTGATCGGCACAGTGAACTCTGCTGCACACTCCTTCAAAATTCTACCACTAAGACCGTCTGGTCCACAAGCCTTATGCACATCAAGGGTAAGTAGAATGTTTGTCACTTTGTCACTGCTCACAACAAACCTTGACAGACTATCTACGTCATAACTCGGTGCCACAGGTAAGTCATGAACGACAGCTGGGTCAGAAAATTTTGCAGCAAACGCACGACTCAGACATTCGGCTCTATCACGATCGTCAGATATAATTCTACCATCACATTTCAGAACAGAAACATTTTTTGAAGACTTTACGGATTTTAACAGAGACCAGAACCGTTTCGAGTTGTTCTTGAAGTCATCGACGATGTGCAACATGTATCTGCGGTACTTGGACAGGACTAAACTCTTAAACTGGGTCCTACAGGTTGCAAACCGTTTAATCCGTTCATCGGTAGGTGACTGTTTCTTGTGGCGGTGGGCAATCTCTTTTTGGCGCAACGCTCGCTTAACATCTGCATCGAACCATGGTGGGTAGCGAGCCTTCAGAGTCACCAACGGAATGTGATCTGATATTGCCGCGTCAGTCCACTCATAAAACAGTTCAACAGCGTCATCAACAGCAAGATCATCTAGCATATTCCATGGTAAGAGCCGCAGTGCATGCCTCAAAGTCTGCGCGCCGATAGTTAAGAGCAGTGCTGCGTGTCACACGAGCGCAGCCCGTCCGAGGCACTGTGAATGTCGCCGTGACCTGATTATGGTCAGAGTCAAAATAACCGACATCAGAGTCACACTGCACCCCGCTGATGTTCGTCAGCACTAAGTCCAGTGTGCTGTTCTCTCTAGTAGGCTGCAGCACATGCTGGCGCAGTCCGTGCTGGTCGACAGCATCCAAGAAGGTGGTGGCACGCGCAGACCGCCGCAGCAGCTGGGGAGGACGATCCGGCCCGTGCCAAACGATCTCAGGAAGATTGTAGTCACCCAGCATAATCACAGACCGGCCAGCAGAACATACAGTCTCGAGCACATTCACTATAGATGTCACTGCCGCGTCATCATCCGGCGGCCGGTAGCCAACAATCACTGTGACTGCCGGACGGAGACCAACAAGGTCAACCACTAGGACCTCTCCCTGCTCCACCTCGGCGCGTCGAAGAGGCTGGAGAGCGGCCCTCACAGCACAGGCCACACCACCCCCGACCGACTCCTCACGGTCCCGGCGGAACCACACGTGACTGCTGAGTCCGTGCTGAAGCTCGGAATCACCGACATACGGCTTCAACCACGTCTCCGTCAAGGCCAGGATGTCAAAGCGCTCAAAAACAGGAGAATGGGCCCGAAGGGTACCCAGTTTGTTTTTGATACTCCGGACGTTTTGTGAGAAGCAGGTCACAGTCTGTCTATCTCCAGCTAACGCCCCCTGGCGGCCGGTGTCCGACGTGCAGAGCCGCTCAGTCGGGCCCGGGTTGACTTCAACGTCACCACATAGTGCCAGTCTGGTGATGTTCCATGTGGAGCAGGAGTTGGTATGATGCGGCGTCCGTGCATGTAGGAACCGTGGAGCCCTGCCGCCGACCGCCCCTCGCCGCACCGACGGCTGACCGGGACCGGGCGAGCTCCGACATCCGCCGGCCAGCAGCAGCAGCGCCAACAGCAGCGCCGTGGCACGCATCATGGCGGACTGTGGAAGGTGCGGTTCGAGAGCTCACCGCAAGATGGCACCAACAAGGTCAGTCAGTGCGCCTGCGCAGTAGTCTTCGCCACTCTGTCAGATGCGATGACCTCAGAAGCTTGCAACGTCAAGGCGGAACAGGCAGCCAATCAGAAGCGCAGAGGGCCCAGATGTGACGTCATACTTTCGTCCAGGCGGGCAGCGTTTCCATCATGGCGGCGTGTTTTACGGGTACATCCTTGCAAACGCAGTGACGGCGCTAAGAGCCTATGCCGTATGCGTACAGTGAATTACGGTGAAAACCAGTCAGAAGCACAGACGGCAGCAACCAAATGTCGTCTGCAAAGCACTGGGACTGGAAATACAATGGAACACTAATAAAATACTAAAAAGTGGGAGCCAACGCACGGCATAAAAGCCGCGACAATTCACCGCAACATTAACAACTAGCGAGCTTATTCATTCGTTCATTTTAAGCGGAATGTTACAAAAAAATAGCTCATGTCTCATGATCTATTTATTTAAGCATCTGTGGCAGGAATGCAACTGTGGCAGGAATGCAACGGTGGCAGGAATGCAGAAATAGCTGATATTTGTTTTTTTTTCTGTTTCAGTCCAGTTTATACCTGACAACCGTCAAATGCAACCTGCTGTACTTCAACTACCCAATGGATAGACAAACATGCACAGTCAAAATACAGAGCTGTAAGTATTTCATGTACAAGTATATAAACAAAATACATTTCATTATAGTTATCAACCTACCATATTCAAACGTATGGAGACAGGAGACATCACATTTCAGATAATGAAGCTACGCCATTTTTACACACTATGGCACCGTTAAAGAGGCACTTGCATGGTGCATTCCTAAAGGACAGAGCAATGTTCTCTCCGCGGCTGTCCGGCGTTTGGCAGTGACGGGAGGATCGTATACTGCGCCGCACTACTCAGCTGCATTGCGGCACAGTCTATGCATCCAGTAAACCGCCCTGAGCCGGGCGGCGCGGCAAGTGTAGACTATTTTACCGTTTTTAGTCGCTTTAACTTTGCGTAAAATTAGCTACAATAAACAAAACAATCACCCTCTGACACTTGCATAGGCCATGTATTAATTTGCTGCCCATTTCTCTAACGTGAACACAACTTCAGATCCTTCACCGTTGTCCGTTGGGCGTTTATGCATTCATATTCAAACCCAGTGGCGCGGGAACCGGGGGGGCTAGCGGGGGCTGAGCCCCCCCAGCTTTTCGGCTGGGGGGGGGCTCGTAATGTATTTGAGCCCCCCCCCCCAGCTGGAGGAATCGAAATCGGAAATCTACCAACATAATTTTATAGATTCATACATAGGCGCGGGAACTGGGGTAGGGGGCAGTGGGGGAAGCTTGCCCCCACAACTCTGTGGCCGTGGGGGCGGTGCCCCACAACGTTTCATGAGGCCAGGAACCGTTGGGCAGCTTGTCCTCCCCAAATTAGGGGTTGTGGGTCGCAAAGGAAGAAAGCATATAAGTGAAAAATCCACCTATTTCACTGGCTCGGCAACTCGTTTGGCAGATTAAAACCTTTACTCCAGGTTGCCAAAACGGTAGTTTCTTCACTCAGCTGAGACGGAATACCTCACTTTTTGAAAATATTTTCGTGTTTTTTTGTTGTTGTTGAAAAGGCCAAGGTCTGAAAAATAAGTGGCCTAAAACCGTTGAGGAAAACTAGGTTTGGGGGTACCCTAGGTTGATTTCTATTATGGTTCAGCCCCCCCCCCCCCCCCCCCAGTCTGGAAGAAGTTCCCGCGCCACTGTTCAAACCAGTCCTCTTCGCCAAATGTTATGACGGCAATAGGGCTGGTTCGGTTTGAAACTTATCGTGATAGACTAACATGGCTGGTAGCGTCTCAAACCTGTAACGCATAAACTTCTAGCTATACGATGTTCATCATATCCTGCTACCGCAGATGCGTACACATCGGAGACGCTGACCATCGAGTGGCACCCCAAGGGCATCACCCGTGAGGACATCGTGATGAGCAGCTTCTACCTGGAGGACATCCGTACCCTGCCGCCAGTCAGAGTCGGCGTGTTCAACAGTGAGGCAATCAAAACTGTTCTGGTGTCAGTTGCACCGTCATATGAGTTATGACTCTTTACCACTGCTTGCCGATTTAAGATTTAATGCTTTTTTATAAAATCTTATATATTTTCAAGTAGCAGCACAGCATTACAAACATCAGCATTCGACTATTACTAGCGCATTGAAACCCACGACTTTCCGATATAAACTTTAAAGGTAGTGTGCCAGCTTTCCTGGACCGTATGGAGTTAATGGCCCAGATAAGGAGAACCGGATTTTTAGAACTTAGCCATACTTTCAAAACTCATGGAAACGTCTTAAATTCTTCAAATTTTGAGTACCCCAGTGCGAAATTCGCCCCGACGGGTTGTCGGTCGTACCCCAACCACATTTCACACCACTATGAACAATAAATGCACACACTGAAATCGCTATTACCGATAGGCTCATCCAATCAAGTTTCGATAAACCCGTTCATCATCATCTCCTGCGGTTTCGAACACGCCTGTTAGGTGGTGCGGTAGACCGCGCCCAAAGCCAGGGCCCCGGTAACGTGAGGTAGCCGAGTCGGGACAGCGTGCGCGACCCAAGCCGGGGCCGCGCGTCCTCCCGGTGTCATGTGATAGCCCGGGGCTGCCCGGGGATGCGGTAGACCGCGCCGAAAGCCGCGGCCCCGGCTTGGGTCAGCGCACGCTGCCCCGACTCGGCTACCTCACGTTACCGGGGCCCTGGCTTTGGGCGCGGTCTACCGCAGGTGGCTTCTGCTCATACTTTGTGGTGCGGTGGTGGTGCGTCGGGCCGCGCGCTCTGACTTCGGCCAAGAAAAATGCGTCAGCTGATCATTGTCGTTTCTGCCACTTCCATGTGGTGAGATGGGGTCATAACTTTAGAGACGGCTGTTTCATATCAATTATTTTACATAAAATAATATTTCAAACCATAAATTAATGTTCGACAGCCAAATTAAAGAGACAATACCAATACAGGCTCACAGTTTAAATTCGACATTGTGTTGTCTACGATTAGACAGCTGATAACTCATTCCCGTACGTCGTAACTCTATAATGACCTTTGCTTATTGTCACATGTGCGCCGCATTCGCGATTGTTGCCGACGCCTGTTTGCAGGTCAGCCCACTAGAGTTGTTATACATATCGAAAAACCGATAAACTTTTAGGCGAAAAAAGCACTATTTTAGGCCCATTTTAGATTTTTTTGCGATATTAGGTAAAAACAGAAGCTTCTTATCCTAGGAAAGATAAAATGGGAAATCATTGGAAGGTGGCACACTACCTTTAATTATTTCCTGTATGATAACAGCAGCTTATTCAGTCTGCATCTGAATGTGATACAAAAGCTGCCAACTGACATGGTGGCGACGTACAGAGAAGCCTGCATCAATCGATCACAGATGATGTTATAACACCACACGATTCAAGGAGTGGTACAACGCAAGCACAAATTGGCTAACAAGTTGTTATTTCGATTCTTCACAGACAGCCACGCAGAGCTGAGGTTCGAGATGCGTTTCAAGCGTAAACTGCGCTTCTCGATCCTGGCTGTGTATGTGCCCAGTCTGCTGGTGGTAATGGTCAGCTGGCTCTCACTATGGGTACGTATGCTGTGTGGAGTATAGTGTCAGCTGGCTCTCACTATGGGTACGTATGCTGTGTGGAGTATAGTGTCAGCTGGCTCTCACTATGGGTATGTGTAATATACAGGGTGTCCCATAAGTTTGTTCTCACATTATATTTGCATGTAAAACAGAGTACATTGCGTTTTGATATGTTTATGACCCCTCAATGTGCCCCATTTCATAGGCAAACACATGAATACATGCCGCGGCATGCCAACCGGCATGTTTGGCAGCATAGCAGGCTTCAAGTTAGCCCAGACTGACTTGACATGCACCGTGAGCTCCTCGAGGCTGGAACAGTGCTTCGCCTCGACGAGCCTCGATTTCAATATTCCCAACACATGTTTATGAAATTTGGATCTGATGAGTTGCCTGGGATATGATCTTGCCACAGACGCCTATCACAGTCTCCTGGTACTGCTTTTAAGCTTTCCTTGACCTGTGCACTGATGCACTTCCTTGTATGAAGATGGGCCTACGACCTCCCGGATGCCATTTTCTCCTCCAAAAATGTGTTCATACTTGCGGTTTGAGTTAAGCTAGAAGGCTGAAACTCCTCTTAGATCTTCTTGGAGAAGCATTCTGCGTCCCAACACTGTTTCTGGAGTATCAATCGCAACCTGATTAGCGTCTGGACGCATATTACCCCACATTACCGTGATCCTGGCCTCTTGCATAGGAATAAAGCGGGATGACACGAAGGCCTTTTCCGTCGCCCATATGGGACCGTTTGGTGTTTGGACGGGTGTTTTATCTCGAACACGGACTAGGTAGTCCAGATGACCACATTGATGTCACCGGCCCTCCAGTTTTTTGGCCTCAGGCATAATGAAACACATGTTTGGCCATTTTAAGACATTTTCGATTGCTTTGCGTCCTCCGTTAAGTTTAAGCTCAAGTGACCAAGAGTTATGTACCCCGAAATAATACTCTTAGACAGCTGGTAATCCATCCTGAAAAGCCTGTTCACCAACTTTCTAACGCTAAGCCCTTTTTGACGGCCACTTTGGCGCCACACAGTTTTGGCCACATGGCTCACTCCTGAGAGCAGTCAAAAAAGAGCATAAACTTGCAGCGATTGACTCCCGACAAATCATCGACGTCACTTGCTGATTGTGCGTCCAGTTAGCGGCAGACATTGGCTACAGACTGGATGCCTCAATCACCCTCAACCGTCGCGAATGGCCCACGTGCAGACTAAATATCGAGACGTACCCGTATTGGAGACCTCTATGTTGCGGCGTAAGCCGTCTCCACATGAAGTGAACTCTCTAGCAACAAATATTTTGTCTAGACGAATTAGTTATCGTGGAGCATATTCACAGTTGCCATGGCAACCCCAAAAGCTCAGTTACAAAATGAATTAAGCATGGCCTTAAATAAGAGAGCCTCTAAAAGAAAAATTTAGGTGAGAAGGAACTTATGGGACACCTGTATAGTGTCAGCTGGCTCTCACTATGGGTATGTATAATTATAGTGTCAGCTGGCTCTCACTATGGGTATGTATATTGTTCACTAGCTCTCACTATGGGTACGTATTTACGTACGTATGTAAGTACTTAGTGTCAGCTGGCTTTCACTATGGGTACGCATTCGCGCATCAAGCTTGTGTCTACTTGGTCTTCTGGGAGCGGCATCACGACTCTTCTAACGCTGACCGTTAGACCTCATAGTATGTCTTTCACTGTGTTTCAGGTTCCTCCCGAAATGGTGCAGGGTCGGATGGTGCTGGTCATCACCACTCTCCTGACGCTGACCATTATTTCAGGTTCCTCCCAAATGGTGCCCGGTCGGATGGTGCTGGTCATCACCACTCTCCTGACGCTCACAGCACTCTTCAGCGCCAATGTGTGAGTACAGCGCTGAGAAAACAGCGGTTAACAATTCCATTGAATCTTCTACTTTAATAACCACATGCGTTGTTCCTAGCGAAGCTTACGAAACACGTGGACAAGACAACCAGCATGCCGAAGTAAATATCAACCAACAGCACCTCGCCAGAAGTTACGAACTAATATGCCATTACTACCTTTCCAAACAGCGAACAATAATATTTTTTCAGCCAAGGAATGCCTGAAGTCAGCTACGTCAAGGCGATAGACGTCTGGACACTGGCATGCATCGTCTTCGTCTTCGGGACAATCTTGGAATACATTGTCGTTCTCAGGTAAAACCTATGCATAACCAAACAGATAACCTGAAACCTAGTGGACGACATCCTCTGAAGTGAAAACAGCAACAGTTCGAACGATAGACCATTTGTCAGGATTTATCGTTGCGTAGACCTATTCACATCGGATCAAAAATAATATTTTATCATCCTATGCTCATAATGAAATGGCCAGCTGACAGGAATTAATATATAGATAACAGATGATAGAAAAACTGATTACGAGCGAGCGAGCGCAGCGAGCGAAGCGAAGTCTCTTCAATATAACGGAAAAATCTCAGTATGAGCGGCCCGGCCCGGCCCGGCCTGTAACGCTTTTGAGAGGCTTATATCTCAGCAACCGCTGGACCGAATGACCTGCGGTCTTTTTTGCTGGGTAGCCCCATCCCTTCTACTCCGTAATTGACTACTTTTGATACATCTCAGTGACCGTCGTGGCACGTGCCACGTGAAAAGTCAAGGGTGTTTAAGCAGTTTTGCAAAAGTAATGATTTTGAGAGGCCCATATCTCAGCAGCGGCTTGAGTGATTGTCTTGCGGTAATTTTTATAGGGTAGCTGCATCCCTTCTACCAAAGTTCGGATACTTTTGATCTATGTGAGTGACCCCCACTGCACGTGCAAAATACAACAATAAGAGGTGCCAAATTTGTTCCCATTTCAGTAACTCGGTAATTACTGGGGCGATTTCGCTGAACCTTGGCATACAGGTAGGCACCCACCAGGCAATGCATTCCCATGTGTTGCGGTTAGGGTGGTACTGCACGTGCGCACGTGCAGGGGGCGTTTCCAGATCTCGAGAACGGCTGGGCCGATTGCGCTCAAATTTGGTACACGGTTGGGGACCGGTTAGTATATGGGTGCCGTGCAAAAGTCATTTTGGACCCCGTTTGCACGTGCGCACGTGCAGAATGCCGCTTCCAGATCTCAGGAACGGCTGGGCCGATTGCGTTCAAATTTGGCACACCGCTAGCGACCGGTTAGAAGGGTGCTTTGCACAAGCCCGTTGGAAGTACCCTCTCGCCCTTCTGCACGTGCAGGGCTCACTATCTCGCTCGCTCGTTCTTCGCCCAAAAGGCGCTTTACTGGTATATTATAGTGCATGTATGGCCTAAACTTTTGAATTCATTTTAAAAGAAAAAAAAACGCAAGAAATTACCCAACGTTTCGCATTTATTGCTTAGTCATGGGTCTTCGAGGGCGATTGGTAGAGACGGCTGTTTCATATCAATTATTTTACATAAAATAATATTTCAAACCATAAATTTATGTTCGACAGCCAAATTAAAGAAACAATGCCAATACAAGGCGATAACAAGGTAAGCAGTTTGGAATACCAGATGATGGGACTATTCATGAACTGATATCCGTTATAGACGTAAGAATAAGAGCCCGACTAGCGACAATCGCCCTCGAAGACCCATGACTAAGCAATAAATGCGAAACGTTGGGTAATTTCTTGGGTTTTTTCCCCTTATAAAATTAATTCAAAAGTTTAGGCCATACATGCACTATAATATGTCACACCTGTCTATTGATAATCCCCAAAAACTGATTTGCTTTGACATACCTAAAAAGAATTGTATGAAATTTAAGTTCACTGACAACAATTATCAATGCTCACAGGCTATCAACACATAACAATACCGCCACGGTTGCACCAAAGGAACAAAACAAGGTAAGCAGTTTGGAATACCAGATGATGGGACTATTCATGAACTGATATCCGTTATAGACGTAAGAATAAGAGCCCGACTGCCTTTTTGACCCAGGCTCCAATGAGTGATTCATGTGATTACCCTGATTGGCGCTGCAAGGTGGCAGAAATCCGAGCGTCTTTTGATATAACCAATGTCTTTTACTCCATCCAAGCTGAAGTCACAACCTAACATTTTTTTTCATACACATTTAACAGGTATAAAAAGGTGGGTGACTGCCACGCAGGGGGACGGACCTATACCATAAAGAACGTAGAAGATCGCTAGTTGCGTACGGATTTTCTTTGACAGGTGTAATGCAGTTGTTGCTGACGCTGAGCAATGCCCCCTTTGTTTGTTATTCGAATGTCGGCAGGCGAAGACGCTGAAGGGCAACTGGACGATGACGGGCGCCGAGAAGGCCGATCGTCTGGAGCGGTTCTCCCGAGTGGCCTCCGTGGTGGCCTTTGCCATCTTCAACATCGCCTACTGGGCCTACTACCTGGGCTGATCAGTGATCATCCGGTGTTGACAAACAGACTCGCTGTCCGGGCGGACCGTCAAACGGCTATCAATTACTGGAACTGTGCAGCGTGGAGCTGCAGGTGGAGCTATCAGCGGCCCGAATTGACACCGTGCGGAACTAACACTGCGTGTAGCTGTCACTGGGTGGCGCGGTGCAGGTCCACGGACTGTGGATATTGAGACGCTGAGCGTCACTGTGCAGCGCTGTGCACGTCTGTGGACGGTGGATAATGAGTGCCACTGGATAGTCAAATGTGTCCCTCGATGGAGCTGTCACCGAATGACGATCTGCCTCCGAGGTATCACTTATACGAGCCAATGATCACCGGTAAAAAGGACGTGCATTCAAAAGGAGGAAAGGCTGCGCCAGTGGCTCATGCTATGTAACCGAGCGTTAGTTGTTTAATGTAGTGAAAACACAACTTATCTAAATGTGAAAACGAATCCCACCCGTTGGGTGTAGATTTCCACTGGCGTCCAACTGGCGTCTTACTGAACAGACGTCCAAATTGGCGTCTAGCTTGGCGTCTAACTGTTGGACGGAGACTTCCAAGCTAGACGCGTCTAAAGTTAGCAGTCGCCAGATAGACGCAGCCGCCATCCAGCTAGACGCGTCTAACTAACTAGACGCAAAATGGAAGTCTCCACCCAACACGCTAAATTGTGTTTTTCAATTCAAGAAATACTCAAAAGTTGGCGCTTAAAAGGACATTTTTCACCATCTAGAATAAATCAGTGCATCCCGCCTGCAGAAAAGACACCACGCATTGCTATATGCAGTGCATCGATTCGCGCACAGTAAGCAGTTGTTGTGAAACCTGAATGTGCATTCAAACACCAGGCGAAAACGAGCCCGTGTATTCTTGTACAAATACTTCTGTGTATACCTACTTTCGACAAAAATATACCAGACATTGAACTCTAATGATTTGCCGTGAAATCGCTGTGCACCACCTCGAGATATCAAGCCAGCTATCTTCCTCAGGATCAGGAAGGTCCACTACTTTCTCAAATGAACTGATACGTAAGTATTCACCACCCACCAAGCGGGAGAGCCTCGACTGCACGCTCCACATCACTGACACATGACGATTGTGACCACGCTGATCATATCCCGATTTCTCAGACTGGGAGGGTCAGAGCCTCAGAGGACTTAGTGATATGCGATCAGGTGAAACCCTGGAGGAGACATGACACACGACCGATCACAGAGGAGTGGCGCCAATCGCAACTTGGGCATTCGGAATTCCGATTTTGTCCAATGTCCAATGAGGAATTCGAACTTATCACGAGAAATGTGGGTGCAATAAAATGATAGGTGGTTCCTGGACTTTCATTATCTGTAGGTAGCCATAAGATATTTTCTGATACCTCATCATTTTCACGACTTTTCACGAAAAGCCAGTGGGAGAACATGATACCTCCTTACTGGAGAATGAGAAAGGTCCTTTTAAATCACATGGACAAAAAGCCACCTAGAAGTGGCAGAATTGGGTACATCAATGCTACCTATAACGTGCGATGCAATAGGTACAATAAAATTACACCCTTCTAAGAACTCACAAACGTCTGAAATATCTAGGTGTCTAAGCCACCCTGAATTGCAAAATTCCACCCATGACTCCACGTTACATTTCATGGTTATGCGACGCAAAAAAAAGATCATCAACAATCCTTCATCATTCACCGAAAGAGACGTAAAGGGGATGAAAACACCTAACGTAAGTATAGTCGACTACAGAATAATATTCACTTCTCAGAAGCTATTAGTTGACCGGAGCGCTAAGTTGTGCCGTTTATCACGCAATTAAGCGTGTCGATTGTGAGCATTGGGACAAAGCTATCATTTGTGAACTCAGCCCGTGTGATGCGGCACAGCCTACCACTCCAGGCAAATAATTGCCTGTGAAAAGTGGAACATCATTTTGTAGTCGACTATACATTCGAACAATACGAATTGACTGATATGGCCAACTTTCCAGCTATGTCATGACCTTGACAAGATAAAAATCGATTGGCTGTCTTATGATCGGGTTACTGGATTGGGCGAACTATTGGAGAATGCCGGCGCAAATAAAACACCCACGGATAAGAACTACTACAACAGGTAACTAAAAACTGTCATGAGCAAACCGCAATAGTGTATCGTATATGTAAATCAACACAAATGACGGACAAGAGCAAGGTGCTATACTGATGCTCTGTACGGCATCAGACCATCGCAGTTGTGTCATTGAGCCCGCATAGGGTACCGTCCATGGTCCATCGCACAGGCATTGATCCGATTGCCTGTGTCCCGCGAGCCTCGTGCGGCACAAAGCGGCGGCAGCTGGGACGTCTGTCCACTGTCCAGCACAGGCACGGCGGCGGTCAAACGGATGACAAATGGAACACATTGTATGTACAATGTGTACATGACGGGCCACATATACGAAGAAAGCCATTGCGCGGGCGAAAGGTCAACTTTTCCATGTTTTTGGTACATTGAGAACCACTGGCTTATTGGCGCTGTGGGCAGCATTTGCATTTACCCTCCTCTTATTACATACGATTTTACGGGGGCCATGTAAGTTACTGCTTCCTGTTGATATAAAAAATGCTTATTCGTGTCTGGCAACATAAATAACGGGGTGCCACCAGGTGAGGTCCTGGTATAATTATACATGGTTATAACCCAGGGCCTCGATATTAGTTTGGTCACTTGTTAAAACAGAATATGTTCATTTAAAGGAAATAATTCACTTTTAACATAAGGCTTTGACCTGAATAACAGTTTCGTAGCTTGAGCTGAGACCAGCACAAAGTAGAAGCTTTCACGGCCCAACGATGACCCTAGGGAAAGATATTCCATTTCTCGTTCCGAAAAAAGCGTCCTAAACAGGAAAGTGGTGTCCTAATGAAGAAATATACCCAGAATGTAGCCACCTCAGCCTCAGCTTGGCGCCAGCCAATCAGCATGCTGCTTACAGCCAATGGGTTTAAAATACGCAAGATGATTGGTCAACGCGTAATAAGCTTCCACGTCAAACAATGTTTGATATAGAATATATTTCTTCCTATATTAGGTATAATATAGAGGATAATGTCAAAAAAAGTTTTATTTCCTTTGCTGGTCAGTTTGAGCATAAAAATCAAATCCATTGCAAAAAAAACTAATTTCGGGAAAGTGAACTTTTCCCTTTAGATTTCGTTTACCAACTCGTACCTAAAATAGGCACCTCGAAGACGATGAACAGGATTTCTGCGGCAGCCTTGTGTTTTTTATTATTTCATAATAATAATAATAATAATATAATATATAACATAATAATAATAATAATAATAATAATAATAATAATAATAATAATAATAAAATAATAATATAATAATAATAATATAATAATAATAATAATAATAATAATAAATAATAATAATAATAATAATAATAATAATAATAATAATAATAAAATAATAATAATAATATAATAATAATAATAATAATAATAATAATAATAATATAATAATAATAATAATAATAACAATAAAACTTATCATTATTATTAATATCATTTTTATTATTTATTTATTTATTTATTTATTTATTATTTATTCATTTATCTATTTGGGGGGGGGGGGTGAGCGGCGGTTGACACATTTTCCGTCTTTCAATAGAACATTCACTTGGAAGAGCAAACAATATTGAATGACCATAGTTTACCCTGAGAAGTTCGCTTTTAATTTTGAGGATAACTCCAGATCATTAGTTTGGGGCGGGAAGGCACCTTTATTTATACATAGAGTTAAGCGTAGTCAATTACACAAATATGCTGTAAAAATAGGTACAGGTATAGGAGTGCAGTTGGCGACGGTGGCACAGCTCAAAATGGAGGTAATAAAAATATATATTGCATGTTAGCCAGTAAACACTGACATGACCGGGCTTTTACCTAGCGCCGCCGCTTGTCAACATGGCATGCAGTCAGTTCCAGGGCAGGTCACAGAGGTGCTAAGGAGGTGGATGCACGACATGTCGCAACCGTGTCTGCAAGGCCTCCACGTTATAACTTCCGTGAACAACAAGACGTCAAGGAGGCACTTTGTATTCACACGATTAGTTTGTCCAAACATTCACTTTTAAGTGCCGCCTCATGATTTGTCTCTAGCCAGTGTCAATAACCAAATGGTTATGGATATTATAATAGCAAAAAGTACTCTCCTTCATTGGTCGGGACAATGAAATCAAAGGCAAGACGACCTCTTCTTGGACACAAACCGCTTTCACAAAAGCAGGCCTATATGTGCATCAGACTATCACAGCGTTCACCATTTCCAATGCTTTGTTATGCAGGATTAAGTATACTGTTGTAACGGCAACATAGCTTAGAAGTGTTATCATGATCCTGCATCATTTACATCCCTTTAGGCAGCGTTTTTCAATGAAT